CCAAACAAACAGATAAATTAATTCTTACGCTATATTTTCATCACAAATCAATAAATATAATAAAAAATTGCTTTAAGATTTTCCAAAATTTTGTTACAATCTGAAATTGATCATAACTAAGTTTTTTACTTTTATTCCACCAATCAATAATGGGAATATATATATTTAGGATGCTAAAGCTTGGACTGGTTCCTATTTCAAAATAAATTATAAGATAGCTACTTACCCAAACTATATGCACAAATTTTACGTTTACATGAAAAATTCATGATAATCTATCAATTTACAAATTCCATGGTTTGTGTATGTCCAAAACTAAAATCATACTTTAAACAAGAATATTAAATAGCATATGCTTACCACCACCTCTCTGCCACCAAAACCACCTCTTCCACCACCACCAAAATCCTCCACCTCTGCCGCCACCTCCTCTGCCACCACCTCTGCCACCATACATTTCTGTCTGAAAAAAAAACAAAAAAACAATTGTATTATTGTTCTGGGAGGGCTGGGGTAAAGAGTTGTCTTAATGAAGACCCATTCTTTTGTCTTTCACTCTTACCCCCTTTCATCTTGAGAGACCCATGGAAAATCAGGGGTTGAATCGGGAGGGGGCACTTACTTGAGCAAACCCCTAGGGCATTTTGCAGTTTCATTATAAGAACTGCAAAAAAAATCATGACGAGTATTTGGGAATGTTCAATATATCAAAGACCAAAATACACCCAAAGCATCACTTGTGCAGACCAAAAATCTCTTTAACCCACACCCTATTCACCATGATTTTAGTCTCTGTCAAGGCTTACTTTATTTATTTCAACATTACTTTTTACATGCCCAGATTTTTTATGCACTAATAATTTTTTGCTTCTTTTTTACTGTTAAAGTGTCCTTTGATCTTCCGATTCTAAAGCAGTCATTAAGCAAATGCATAAAAAAATGTTTGCTATAAGAACTTACTTTCATCAAAATATAACCAAACCAAAATGTAACTTGTTATAGAACATAATGCTATCAATATATATATAGACATATACATTCTATTTGCATGAGTAATACAGTGGTTTATGAGTGTATTCAGCGCCCCTTTTCCCTTGTACTCATCCAAGAGACAATGCAGTTTCCTCAATACAATTAGGTGAAATTATACAAGGTCCAACTAAATTGGATTTCAGGTGCCGCAGCAGCACTAGCAAACTAATCGATGTGGATATACGTTTTAGTGGGATAAATCATAATAAATTAACTTGTTTATTTTGTTTATTTATACCGTTTATAACAACTACCGACCCAGCATGTTCATACGAAAATCATATGTTTTTTTAAATAAGTTATACTAGATAAATCAGACACTGAGTGAGAAAGAGGAAATGCATTGGCTCTCAGACAATCTCAGTAAAGAGTTCAAGACTCCCAAGTACTCCATAAACTACAGGAAAAACACCCACATGTATTCCACGTTTAACCTCTAGAAGTATCACCGCTTAATCTCATTTTTTCTCATAACCACGCTTAATGAAAGCATCTTTTATCCCAAGAATATACAGAAACGATAAGGTGCAAATAGTTATAATTTTCATTGATACCTAACTATATGTTTAACATAAATAACTCTCAATATCCACAAAATTCAACTCACCGCCTTCAGTCAACCAACACTTGAATGTAAACAAGCCGACCCACGTGCGTCAAAAGCGCATCTGGTTGAGATTTTAATTGCCAGCTGACTTCTTGCACATTGATACTTCGCTTATACCACTAATGATTTTTCTCATAAAATTATATATCAATTAAATAAGTATGGATTTGTTTATTGTACTAATATGTGAGATATTCTTAAGTTTATTTACCAAATGTGTTATATAAAAAAAACACAATCACGATGCGCAAGGATTTCAAATACTTAAAAATGGTACAAAAATGTTTGATACAATTCAGAGAATATTCAATGATAAAACAAAAATCTGATAACTACACAAACTCCAATATCATCTTAATGTTGTTGTCCTTTTGTTTAGAATGGACACGCGAGTTTTTGTGTTGTGTGTGTGTGTGTGTGTGTGGTGTGTGTGTGTTGTGTGTGTGTGTGTGTGTGTGTGTGTGTGTGTGTGTGTGTGTGTGTGTGTGTCTGTGTGGTGTGTGTACGTGGATATGCATATGTATATATATATATATATATATATATATATATATATATATATTATATATATATATATATGTGGTGTGTGTGTGTGTACTCACATACACACGCACGCACGCGCGTGCGCATACACACACACGTACTTGGGCTCACGTTGACGCGCATAAATTACACACACACACACACACACACACACACACACACACACACACACCACACACACACACACACACACACACACACACACACACACACAACACACACACAAAACACACAAAACACACACACACACACACACACACACAACACACACACACACACACACATATAATATATATAATATATATATATATATATAATATATATATATATATATATATATATATATGTATATGTATATATGTATTTACATTGTATGTGTGTGTGTGTGCGCGCATATATATACTATATAATATATTATATATATATATATAATATAATATATATATATATATAGAGAGAGAGAGAGAGAGAGAGAGGAGAAGAGAGAGAGAGAGAGAGAGAGAGAGAGAGAGAGAAGAGAGAGAGAGAGAGAGAGAGAGAGAGATATGCGATTAACTCGTTTTTGCGCATTTATATATACATATAAATGGTCACATCCGCAATATGCTTACAACGAAAGCTGTCATACGAATACACACTCAGCACCGACTTGCCGACGAAATCCGACCGCAAGACGCCGGCAAATTGGACCGTATTGCTACACATCGCAACGGGATTTGTGCTGATCAATGGCACCGAGTCTGGAGGCGGACTTGGCTAACCCAGGGCGGCGCCAGCGGGACCACGTGAGCGTCTTTGAGAGAAGGAGGATACGTACAAAGAAGAAGCTTTAGGTGATCCTTGATATGCAAAGGCACGGATTCGTGTGGGTATATACATGCATATTTATGCATGTGTTTGTGTATATGTGTGTGTGTGTGTGTTTGTGTGTATTTATATGTATACACACACACAAGACACGCACACACACACCACACACCACAACACACACAACACACACACACACACACACACACACACACACACACACATATATATAATATATATATATATATATATATATATATATACATATATACATATATATATACATATACATATATATATATATATATTATATGTATATATGTATATATATGTATATATATATATATATATATGTATATATTATTATATATGTATATATATATATATATATATATATATATTATATATATATATATATTACATATATATATATATATATATATATATATATATATATATATATATGTATAGATATATATTTCATACACACACACACACACACACACACACACACACACACACACACACACACCACACACACACACACACATATATATATATATATATATAATATATATATATATATATATATATATATATATACATATACATATATATATATATAATATATATATATTAATATATATAATATATATTATATATATACACCTAAGTCACATGTGGTTACGATAGTAAAGAGTCGCTGATATTTGGAATAAGAAAGAGAGAAGCCAGTGCGTCCCCTTCCAGCGCATTCATGTTCGCAGTTGTCTGTATACATTGCTGACTTTCGCACAGACGTTTCGTTGTTTATCTTAATTCATAAAAACAACGCCGATTTTTTATATATCCTACCTTATCTATATATAAGCCAGACGTTATTCATAAAAACAAGACCGTTTTTTTATATCCTACCTTATCTATATATAAGCCAGACGTTATACCTTCAGTTGATGATATAGGTATTGATATAGTACTGTATTTAATGAAAAAAACATACTGTGTTTTATTTTTCGTAGTTACCATGTATTTAGATTATCAATACCTATATCCTCAAACAACTTTATTCAACTGGCTGGAAATATCAAAGAAGATTTTTTTTGCGCTGGGAAGATATCTCCATGAATCATCATTCGATTGATCGGATTAAAGTTGTTTTGATATAAAAGTGAATGAAGAACTCCAAAAGTTCAAATTGAAAAGAATGACGTGGGTGTGAATATCCACATACTGTACACAGTCACGCTCAGACACTCACATGCAAACACGCAAATACACTCACATACGTGTATATTTACATGCACACACACACACGCGCGCACACTCACACACACACACACCACACACACACACACAACATACACACGCACATATATATATATATATATATATATATATAATTATATATATATATTATATATATATATATAAGACATAGATTCCGTTTTCCACGAATTATTATTCAGGCGTGTATCCTTTCAAATTCTCAGGGTCGCCTTACGAACTGAACTATGAGAAAATGGCCCTCTGTAGATATTCGAGTTCACTGCCTCACAAAAAGGCAAATGAGCAGTGTTTGTGTGGTTGAAAATGAAAATGAAGGTGAAAGCTTTTTAAAGTTATAAAAAATATAATAAAGAGAAACGATTTTTGGTTTTATGTGAATATTCCTCTGATCTTGTCTGCTGAAGCTTTTTCATACTCAAAATCCCCTTCTCTTTGGCGACGTAACTTCCCGCTCGTTATGTAGAGCCTCGGAATCCCTGAAGAACTGCGGAGAAAATGATCTGTAGAGCTTATGCAACATTTCCCGTGCCAATATCGCCGTGTCGAGATATGAACGCCAGCCCAAACTGCTTTTATTGTCTCACACCGTCAAGCATCTGAAAAGTTCTCAAATTAGTAGTCTAGTCATTGAAAATGTTGTTTTTTCTCATAAATCGCGTTTCTGCTCGGATCTCGTTCTCTCGAATCCATAATAAGAGAGCTAAAGTACCCCTTTAGGCCCCTGCCTTATAGGGGTAATTAGTGGAGCTCTCTGGTATCTCGGGGTTTAGCCTTCAGACCGAGACAGCTGTGAATCTTCTCTAGCCTAAAGTGTTTTTTTTTTTTCGTCTATCTGGTTCATTTGTCTAAATTTGTCTTATGGCGTAGTTACCATGTCCTATCTCAGAAAGAAAAAAAAACGTCTGGGGGCAAGGGTACGCGAGCAGAGTACTTAGTTGAGAACATAACACGTGCAAGGTTATTCATTTATATCTATAAAAAAAGAAAAGAAAAAAAAGGAAACGTGGGAAAGGGCGCCGGGTATGTGTCCCAGTTCATTCGCACATTGCTATGGTATGTTTTAGTCTCCTTCACTTTGTCAGGGCAGAATCACAAGGCCTGAAAGATCTACCTTAAGTTATATCGCTTAAGGGAAAAAAGAAGATAAAATGCATGATAAGGTTCTTCGTTTTGACTGTCTGGGGTCCGTGAGACTTTAAGCTGTTTGGATACAGTATATTAGAGAGCATGTCGTTTGTAATTATTGAAGAACGCTGACTGGTTTGAGTGAGTAAAAATGTAAGTATGTCTGTAGAAAAGTTCTCTTGAGTTTGATCATTACAGAATCTGTACATTTTCCTTCCTTAAGAAGTAAATGTACAGTGCTTTATGTCATGCTTGGGGATTATCAATTGCTTCGGATTTTACATTTTATCCATGATTTTTTTTTTTTTTTTTTTTTTTTTTTTTGCTATTTTACTATAATTCTGGACGCAAGCTTTTGAAACTGTTATTTCCCATGAGGATGGAAATTATCCAAATGTTACTTATTGATCATGCATATGATCAATATCTTTTAGGTTTTATGTCTTGAATGTCTGCATCAGCTCCAAGCCGCATCTTCATGATAGTTCACAGAGCCTGACCCCAATGATTTGGGTTTGGCATTCTAATTTTACTAATGAATATAGCACACATACACATACACACACATGAAGAAGACGCGATTAATTCTCCAGCTAACATATATATTTCTTTAGATCACACAAACACCCACACGCACACATACACACTCACACACGCGCGCATACACGGCACACACACACACTATGTGACCTAAAGAAAGATATGCTAGGTGGAGCTTGTTCATGCATACGGGCCAGAATGCGTGACTGAAACAAAGCAATCCTTTATTGTGAATACCTGTAATTTGTGCTGCAGGTACGGCGTGTTGCTGCTGGCTTTGGTGTCCTCGCAGGGGCAGCGCCCTTCGCTCCTGAGGCAGCGCGGGCCTTGTACAACCCCGGACTATGGGAAGGGGACATCAAGGGCGTGGCAGGACAGAAACCCGGGGTATTTGCGTCTTTTATTTACTTTTTCAGCTCCCTTCATACCAATATTTTTTCTCTCTTTTGTAAATGATATCCTCTAGTAGCATATCTGATGTTTGTATTTGTTCAAAATCAGAACAACAAAGGAGAAAATTTTTACATGACCTGAAGCTATTTAGTTTCGCCTCGGCATTCTTCATTTAGTCGAATAAAAGTTTTTTTTCACCAGGAGGAGAAATCGGCTATCATAGGAGACAATTCTTGTGGACAGATGGTGTTATTCCTTATATTCTCGGTGAGTATTTGCACCGCACATTCCCTCCGGTGTATAAACACTGTCTTACAAGTTTGTGTATCGTAAAGTTTCTGATGTTTACCTTTAGAAAATAGAGATAAAGACAAGGTAAAAAAAATATATATATATACTAACCATAGCGGTCTGTTTTTTTGTGAATATCGCGCGTACTACAGCAAAGAAAATTACATTTTTCTTGAGTATTGCTCTCTTCAAACGTGTTTCAGCTCACTTGCTTTGGCTTTGAGTAAACCCTGATGGATCCTTTTAATGTCTCTTTCATTAATCAGCAGTATATTCATCTCCTCTCTCTCTCTCTCTCTCCTCTCTCTCTCTCTCTCTCTCTCTCTCTCTCTCTCTCTCTCTCTCTCTCTCTCTCTCTCTCTCTCTCTCTCTCTCTCTCTCCTCTCTCTCTCTCTCTGACTATCTTTATCTATCTCACTCACTAACTTCTCTCTCTCTCTCTCTCTCTATCTATCTATATATATGTATGTATGCGTACTTACATATATATGTTGTGTATATATATATATATATAAATATTATATATATATATTATATATAATACATAGATACATACACACACATACCCACACACACCACACACACATATTTTTTTTCATATATGTGAATATGTAAATGACATATTCTGGACACCGCTGTACATTTTTAATTTTACATTCGCCACAAACTTGAATGTGATCTTTTTTGACGAAAGGAATCGCAAATACACTCCGTAAATCTATTCACCCAGAACATTCCACCATCCGCAGAACCCGTAACATCACAAAGCAGAATTCACCTATTTTCTCCTATTTCACTTTCCTCCTTCATGCAAAATAACTTTCCCTGCCACAGCTGAATTCACCATTTTCTCCTATTTCATTTCCTCTTTCATGCAAAAATAACTTTCCCTGCCACAGCTGAATTCACCCTTTCTCCTATTTCATTTTCCTCCTTCATGCAAAATAACTTTCCCTGTCACAGCTGAATTCACCCATTTTCTCCTATTTCATTTTCCTCCTTCATGCAAATTAAACTTTCCCTGCCACAGCTGAATTCACTCATTTTCTCCTATTTCATTTTCCTCCTTCATGCAAATTAACTTTCCCTGTCACAGCTGAATTCACTCATTTTCTCCTATTTCATTTTCCTCCTTCATGCAAATTAACTTTCCCTGTCACAGCTGAATTCACCCATTTTCTCCTATTTCATTTTCCTCCTTCATGCAAAATAACTTTCCCTGCCACAGCTGAATTCACCCATTTTCTCCTATTTCATTTTCCTCCTTCATGCAAAATAACTTTCCCTGCCACAGCTGAATTCACCCATTTTCTCCTATTTCATTTTCCTTCTTCATGCAAAATAACTTTCCCTGCCACAGCTGAATTCACCCATTTTCTCCTATTTCATTTTCCTCTTTCATGCAAAATAACTTTCCCTGTCACAGCTGAATTCACCCATTTTCTCCTATTTCATTTTCCTCCTTCATGCAAAATAACTTTCCCTGCCACAGCTGAATTCACCCATTTTCTCCTATTTCATTTTCCTCCTCCATGCAAAATAACTTTCCCTGCCACAGCTGAATTCACCCATTTTCTCCTATTTCATTTTCCTCCTTCATGCAAATTAACTTTCCCTCACAGCTGAATTCACCCATTTTCTCCTATTTCATTTTCCTCCTCCATGCAAATTAACTTTCCCTGTCACAGCTGAATTCACCCATTTTCTCCTATTTCACTTTCCTCCTTCATGCAAATTAACTTTCCCTGCCACAGCTGAATTCACCCATTTTCTCCTATTTCATTTTCCTCCTTCATGCAAAATAACTTTCCCTGCCACAGCTGAATTCACCATTTTCTCCTATTTCATTTTCCTCCTTCATGCAAAATAACTTTCCCTGTCACAGCTGAATTCACCCATTTTCTCCTATTTCATTTTCCTCCTTCATGCAAAATAACTTTCCCTGTCACAGCTGAATTCACCCATTTTCTCCTATTTCATTTTCCTCCTTCATGCAAAATAACTTTCCCTGTCACAGCTGAATTCACCCATTTTCTCCTATTTCATTTTCCTCCTTCATGCAGAATAACTTTCCCTGCCACAGCTGAATTCACCCATTTTCTCCTATTTCATTTTCCTCCTTCATGCAAAATAACTTTCCCTGCCACAGCTGAATTCACCCATTTTCTCCTATTTCATTTTCCTCCTCCATGCAAATTAACTTTCCCTGTCACAGCTGAATTCACCCATTTTCTCCTATTTCATTTCCTCCTCATGCAAATTAACTTTCCCTGTCACAGCTGAATTCACCCATTTTCTCCTATTTCATTTTCCTCCTCCATGCAAAATAACTTTCCCTGTCACAGCTGAATTCACCCATTTTCTCCTATTTCATTTTCCTCCTCCATGCAAAATAACTTTCCCTGCCACAGCTGAATTCACCCATTTTCTCCTATTTCATTTTCCTCTTTCATGCAAAATAACTTTCCCTGCCACAGCTGAATTCACCCATTTTCTCCTATTTCATTTTCCTCCTTCATGCAAATAACTTTCCCTGCCACAGCTGAATTCACCCATTTTCTCCTATTTCACTTTCCTCCTTCATGCAAATTAACTTTCCCTGCCACAGCTGAATTCACCCATTTTCTCCTATTTCATTTTCCTCCTTCATGCAAAATAACTTTCCCTGCCACAGCTGAATTCACCCATTTTCTCCTATTTTTCCTCCTTCATGCAAATAACTTTCCCTGCCACAGCTGAATTCACCCATTTTCTCCTATTTCATTTTCCTCCTTCATGCAAAATAACTTTCCCTGTCACAGCTGAATTCACCCATTTTCTCCTATTTCATTTTCCTCCTTCATGCAAATTAACTTTCCCTGTCACAGCTGAATTCACCCATTTTCTCCTATTTCATTTTCCTCCTTCATGCAAATTAACTTTCCCTGTCACAGCTGAATTCACCCATTTTCTCCTATTTCATTTTCCTCCTTCATGCAAAATAACTTTCCCTGCCACAGCTGAATTCACCCATTTTCTCCTATTTCATTTTGAATTCACCCATTTTCTCCTATTTCATTTTCCTCCTCCATGCAAAATAACTTTCCCTGTCACAGCTGAATTCACCCATTTTCTCCTATTTCATTTTCCTCCTCCATGCAAAATAACTTTCCCTGCCACAGCTGAATTCACCCATTTTCTCCTTTTCATTTTCCTCCTTCATTCAAAATAACTTTCCCTGTCACAGCTGAATTCACCCATTTTCTCCTATTTCATTTTCCTCCTTCATGCAAAATAACTTTCCCTGCCACAGCTGAATTCACCCATTTTCTCCTATTTCATTTTCCTCCTCCATGCAAATTAACTTTCCCTGTCACAGCTGAATTCACCCATTTTCTCCTATTTCATTTTCCTCCTTCATGCAAATTAACTTTCCCTGCCACAGCTGAATTCACCCTTTTCTCCTATTTCATTTTCCTCCTCCATGCAAATTAACTTTCCCTGTCACAGCTGAATTCACCCATTTTCTCCTATTTCACTTTCCTCCTTCATGCAAAATAACTTTCCCTGCCACAGCTGAATTCACCCATTTTCTCCTATTTCACTTTCCTCCTCCATGCAAATTAACTTTCCCTGCCACAGCTGGAGGTTCAGACGCGGAGATCGTAGCCGCGATGGACGAAATCATGTCTAAGACTTGTATCAAGTTCATCCCGCGGTCCGTCGGGGAACACAATTACATACGCATCACGACCAACGGTGACGGGTGAGTGTCTCTGAGGGAAACTGGGGATGGTGATCAGTAATGTAAATTAATGATTACAGTTTACAAATGGAATGATACTGATGGTGATGGTGATGACGTGATGATGATGATGGCGATGATGGAGATAATAAAAGAAAAAATAACAATAATGATAATCATAAACATAATAACAGCAACAACAGTAATAATGATAACAAAAGTAATGATAATAAAAATAATGATAATTGATAATAAAGATAATGATAATGATACAATAATGAATGATAATAAGTGATAGTAACAATAATATAATAAAGAAACAATTAATGACATGATAATATAAGATAATAATGATAATAATAATAATAAAAATAATAATGATATAATAATAAAATAATAATAATAATAATAAATAATAATAATAATAATAATAATAATAATAATAATAGTAATAATAAATATAATAATATAATAATAATAATAATGATAATACGATATAATAATAATGATGATGATGATAATGATGATATGATAATAGAAATAGTAGTAATAGTGGCAATTGTAATAGTAGTAGTAAAAGCATCGACAGCAGCTGTAGTAGTAGTAAAAGGAATGACAAAAGCAACAACAATGCTAAAACGTACAGACCAATATCAATATTAGCACCGTAAGGATATACTCCCAAGCACGACAAGCGAGGCGGTGAAATCTCTCGTGACCTTTCAAGCGAAAACCCACTAACCTGACCTGACCTGAGCTGATTCTCCGCGCCCTCCCCAGCTGCTGGTCCTACGTGGGCATGATGGACGGGGGGCAGGAGATCTCCCTGGCTCGCAACGGCTGCATCTACCACGGCACCATCATCCACGAGCTCATGCACGCCATCGGATTCTTCCACGAGCACAACCGCATGGACCGAGACGACTACGTTCGGATCAACTATCAGAATATCGATCCTTGTAAGGGAGGAAGACAGGGAGAGAAGAGAGAGAGAGAGAGAGGAGAGAGAGGAGAGAGACAGAGGAGAGGAGGAGGAGAGAGAGAGAGAGAAGATTGGGGAGGAGAGGGAAAGAGAAGAGAGAGGAGGAGAAGAGAGAGAGAGAGAGAGAGAGAGAGAGAGAGAGGGAGAGAGAGAGAGAGAGGAGGAGGAGAGAGAGAGAGAGAGAAGAGAGAGAGAAAAGGGGGAGAGAGAGAGGGGAAAGAGAGAGAGAGAGAGACAGGGGAGAAGGAGAGAGAGAAAGGGGAGAAAGGAGAGAGAGAGAGAGAGACGAAGAGAGAGAGAGAGAGAGAGAGAGAGATATTGATACTTGTAAGGTCTGTTCAGTGCGAGATTTACCTGCCTTTTTTTGTTTTACTTTTTGTATTTCGTTTTATTTTTCGAAATCTTGATTCCCTTTCCGGTTCATTTTAAGGAAAAGGTAATCCAGAGTGCTGATATTTTCATTAATGATTAATAGAATCTATTACGTGAATACAAGCGCCATCTGTCGTTAGGGAAAGAGCTTGGACGTAAACATGTCACTTCGGGAGCTAAATTCCTTATTAGTAAGCACGTGACACAATATCATGCAAAAAGCAGACATCCACCCAGGTTTACCCTACTTCAACCTTCCTTACAGCAATGGCTTACAACTTCGACAAAGACACCAACTCGCAGTACGTAGGCGAAGGCTACAAGTACGACAGCATCATGCACTACGGCAAGTACGCCTTCTCTACCCAGTGGGGCGTGCTGGAGACCATCGTGCCTCTCCAGGACGGCGTAGACCTCACGGACCCCTACGAGAAGCCCCACATGCTGCAGTCTGATGCCAACCAAATAAATAACCTTTACGGCTGCTTCAAATAGAGAAGGAGATCGGGTTATATTTCTCAAATACATTTTAGTTTCCACACATTTGAATGGAGTGAAAATGCGACAGTTTTCTATATATTGGATTTAACATTGTCTTGAAGAAAATAATTTCTGTAATGTGTTTCGAATGTTTTCGCCTCCCCGGTTCATATAATAAATTGTTATGATAACGAAAAAAATGTAAGTCAGCCAAACCCTCATTCATTTTATTGCTTTCCATTGAAAAAGGTTTACTGTTTTAAGCAAAATACTACAGAATCAAAGAAAAGCACAATTAGGGAGCAAATAGTATGTGTATATACATGCAAATACAAATATACACACACACACAAACACTCACACACACACACACACACACACACACACACACACACACACACACACACACACACACACACACACACACCACACACACACACACACACACACACACACACACACACACACCACAAACACACACAAACACACACACACACACACACACACACACACACACACCACACACACACACACACACACACACACACCACACACACACACAACACACACGCACAAACACACACAACACACACACACACACACACACACACACACACACACCACACACACCACAACACAACACACACACACACACACACACACACACACACACACATATATATATATATATATAATATATATATATATATATATATGTATATATATATATACATATATATATAATATATATTATATATATATATATATATATACACATACATATATATATATATATATATATATATATATAATAATATATATAATATATATATATCTGTGTGTGTGTGTGTGTGTGGTGTGTGTGTGTGTGTGTGTGTGTGTGTGTGTGTTTGTGTGTGTGTGTGTGTGTGTGTGGGTGTGTGTATATATATATATATAATTATATATTATATACACACACACACACACACCACACACACACACAACACACACACACACACACACACACACACACACACACACACACACACACACCACACACACACACACACACACAATATATATATATATATATATATATATATATATATATATATATTATATATAATATTATCAGACATACACCAC